CAACTAGTATTTTTGTCACCTTGAGGTTGCGTATTGTTCGGGAAACCAACAATGGCAAACACCCGACCGCAGTTTTGCGGTCAGGGTGATCCTCGGTGTCAAAAATAATAGGCGTGCTGGACCACTTCAGTGGCCTCTGGGCGTCGAATGATGGCTCCACCGTAGTGACTTCACGCGCCCACTGCTTCAGTTGGCGGTGAGAGGTGTGCAGCGAGGCGCCACCGTCGACGCACATGGCCTCCGTAGCTTTCTGAAACTCGTGCTCGCCGGACTCATTGTCCTCATCATGATAATCATCTTCCTCCTTCTTGTCGCGGCCCTGAGCGGGCCTCTCTTGTTAATTATCCTTGTCACGGCGGCCTCCTCGACCACCACGCTTCTTGCCGGACCCCTCAGCACCATCCTGGCCCTTCTCCTTGTCGCGCCTCTCATATTCAGCTTTCTGCTTCTCTGCGAGCAGCTCAACCTGCCGGCAATTCTGGAGGTCGTGGCCTTTGGTGCGGTGGATCTTGCAGTACTGCTTGTCGGAGCCTCTTGGCTTGTCGGCAGATGCCAAGGCCCGGCAGGCGGCGCACCCGGCAACTTCCTTGTCGGGGTCGTCAACCTTGGCCTTCTTGGCGGCGCCGGGATCGCCGGATTCCTCGACGGCAGGCACGGTCTTGCCCTTACGCTTCTTGTTGCGGCGTCGTCCCTTCTTTGCCGGGGCGACGATGTCTTCATCTGTGGAGTCGGTTTCCGCGCCGGCATCTTCGTCAGGGTACTTCCTTCCTTCTTCAGCCCGAGCGCACCTATCGGCCAGAACATACGGCTCGGCTACATCCCTAACCTTGTTCATCGCTAGCTCCTCGCGCATCTTGCGATTGCGCACATTTTGATGGAATGCACTAATGACAGCGGCAAGATGAACATCTGGGATGTTGTACTGCACATGGCTAAACCTTTGTATGTACTTGTGCAGGGACTCGCCGTCCTTCTTGGGGATGACATGCAAATCACTCGCCTGGCCAGGAGCTTGGTGGCCTCCGGTAAAGGCGCCAACAAACTCGTGGCACAGATTCGACCAAGAAGAGATGGAATTCACTGGCAGGTGCATCAACCATGACATGGCGTTGGGCTTAAGTGCCAACGGGAAATAATTGGCAAGCACCTTATCGTCGCGAGCCCCAGCAGCTTGCATCGCGATGGTGTAGATGCCGACGAACTCCGACTGGTGAGTCTTGCCGTTGTATTTTTCTCTGACCTCGGGCTTGAACATGCGGTGGGTGGGCCACTGGAACTGCCGCAGCTCACGGGTAAAGGCTGGACAACCCACCTCATAAGGTAGGTCACCGGCACCCCACGATGCTAGGCGGTCTACAGTGGGTCCCGTGTGCCTATCTGACTGATGGCGCGCGTCCCACCGTCGCTCGATAGTGGTCCGAGCGTCTTCCTAAGCTCGCTCCCAAAGGACTTGACGTTGGCCGCAGCAGGATCGCGGGTCGGACGACGTTGTAGAAACATTGTCGCGGGCATCGGCCCGGTGAGCCGACGGTTGCTGTCGCGGATGTGGGGGAGGAGAGTGCACCGTGGTCGTAGCGTCCCCGCTCCTCCCACCGCCGGCATGCACCGGCTCGACAGAATGCTGACGCGCTCATCTTTGTTGGCGAAGCTGATGAGGCTTCGAATGGTGGCCCTCCACTCGTCGAGCTTCTCCACTGCTGGAGGGAAGTCGAGGAGTAGTTGCACGCGTGCCAACGCTTCCGCTGGCGTGGGTGGCGGTGAAAGCTGCGTGGACCATGATGCGCTCCGACTTCTAACCACGTTAGAAGGAGCTCTATCACGGTCTCGCTGTCACGCGCCATTTTTGCCAGCGTTTGGGCATGCATGCTGGCCCGGTGCGTCTTGAGAGTGATGCAAAGGGCTCTTCCCGCGGCGGTGTCCGGAGGCACCAACGTCGCGGCATTGCTCGTCACGCGCGACCTGGGAAGGCCGCAGCGCGAGCGCCGGCTGGGGCATCCAGGAGGTCCCGCGCCGCCCGTGGGCAGCGCGGCCCCGCCCCCGGGCCCAGCGGCGCGCGGCTCGTCGTCTCGGGCACACACGACGCTGCTCGCCTGGCTCCGATTGCCAAAGTGTCGTGGATGCTCGCGGGCCACGTCTCCGCCACCATCCGCGACCGCTCCGTCGCCTTCCCACGCTGGGACGGGTGGTTTGGCCCCAGACGAGCCGATCACCGTGATCGCCTTCTTCTTGGGAGCCACCGCGACGAAGGAGTCGATGAGTTGGCTTCAAAACCAGATTTCCACAGCCTCGACCCCCTACCTGGCACGCCAAAGATGTCGAGGTTCTGGAACGACACCTATGGGATCCCTCGACGGAATCCCTTCTACGGTTGGCCGGGCGTGGGGCTGCGCAAAGAGCGGTTCTAGAAGATCAACTCAGGGGGATTTTTACCCAGGTTCGGGCCACAAACGATGTGTAAAATCCTAGTCCTGCTTTGTGTGTATTTGGTGTTCTTGAGCTCTTAAGCTAGTTGCGGTGCATGCCTAGTCCAAAAAGTCCGAATCCCCCCTCAGTACGCCTCGGGCCTCCTTTTATATGTCAAAGGGGTTGCCACAGTGGCACACAGGAGGTGGAAAGTATGTATAGCGTACAAGTCTATCTCCCGACATCCTAGGACAAACGCATTTAATGCGCCGCCTATGTGTTCTCTTGCTTTATCGGGGACGGTAAAGAAGCTCGTCCCATCCGTCGCCGCCTCGCCTTGCTCTGACGCGCGTCCAGGCCGATGAGGCATGCAGCGCCACGCTGGTTGGCTGGCTGCTGAGCTGGTGTGCTGGAAGGGTCTTCATGAAGATCTGCATGCCACCATGCAGGTGCTTGGCTGGTTGGCCTAGAAGCCGCATGCTGCCACGCAAGTGCGGGCCAGGCATCGGCCCCGCAGACACTCCTGACAAGGGCCTTGCCGAGATCTCGTGGGTGTCCCCG